ATTCTGAAAAATCTTATATACATTCACTTATAGATACTTTATACAGATAATTCCTGTAAAAGAAAAAGAATAGGAATACGTAGCATTACTGCCTATACTGTGCCAATTTTGGAGCCCATTTTGTCAGACGCACATTTTTGCATAACTTACGAAAAACTTAATTATTGCAAAATTGCTAACAGTATTATAAAAATTGCTTATACTATCTGATAGAAGACACTTTTTACTTTGTATTTATGTTTTTAAAGTTGTATTTTTACCTTTTGTTTAAGAAATATTGTCTAAAAACAAAGTGGTATGTCGATATCGGTGACCTTCCTTTATATTTATATTTAATTAAGGTCTTCTTTGAAAAATATAAAGTAGATTTTTTGTCACTTTTTCGATAAAAATTTGATAACAAATTTATAATTACAGATTTATTAAAAATAAAAAATAAAGAAAGAAGATTTTGAAGAATTAAAATAATTACGTATCTCAAATTAAAATTAGTTAAATAATAATTAAACTTTAACTTATATTTAATTAACATTATATTGAATATTAAAAATTAGAATATTAACGAAAAATTTTCAGGAAATTGTAATTTCAGTTTCATTAAAGAATTTATTACATAAATTGCATAACATCGTGATAATTGCATTACTATTGATACTTTCTGTACGATTGACTGGTTTTCTTCTGCAATATCTGGTTATTTTGTCACTTAATATTAAAAATGTAATAATTACATTGCTCTTTACATAATATAAAGTAATAATTACATTACTCTTTACATAATATAAAGTAATCGTAAGAGATTTTATTTACTGTTTTATTTAATGTTCAGTTTTGAGAAATTTGTTTACAATTCATATTTGCATAAAATATTGCGTGCATGTATCACAATGCATATTATTATTTTACTTAAATGAAATTTTAAGCAGTTCTAATGCATACCAATATTTAATTAGAAAATTAATATTAATGTCATCAATTGATTGTTAAATTTAAACTTCAAAATTTATGAACATATTGAATAGAAACATTATTATTTCGCATTTTCGAGCGCAATCGTTTTATGGAATTTAAGATTGCGTCAGTGTTTTTTTTTCTATATTAAGTGCTGAATTGTAAATTAGATTTATAAAGAAATCGGGATGGCAACACGACCATATTGAATTAATTATCTATCAATTGAATTAATTATCTATTAATAGGTAGAATACTTTTCCTATCACAAAACTGTTATATTAATTGATAGTAAAAACTATAATTTTAGATGGATTAAAACCCGTTATATTTTTTTTGTTGAATAGTCTTTTTATTAGTACTAATGCAGATAGTATTTGTTACTTTTTATAGTAATTAAGTCTTGCGTCAGTAAATTAAATAAAAAGAAATTATAATTTGTTTATGTGATGATAAAGTAAATAACGTATGTGCTCATGAAGGAAATGTATTGGATCCTTTCAACCACATTTAACATACGTGTATAATTTATTGCACGCGCGCGCGGGTCTGTGTGTGTACAATTACATTTCGTATTATAATTATACAAATAGAAGTTATGATAACACATAATGTTTCGGCAGACTCGTCGCAGATGTACATTAACTTCTATAAAGTAGCAATATATGTGTAATCACTCAACTCCCAGCAAGGTTTTCTTGTCCGCTATTTTTTACGCGTTGTTTATTTTTTTCTTTTCGTTTTGACAAGCAAAAAGCGTATAAAGAGTATCAAGGCTGTCAATCGATGTAATATTGTCAAATTTATTTCTATATTCTTTTGAAATTTCTATATTTAAAAAATTTCTTCGTTTTTTCTTTAGTGTTTGATTTTTGTATCTTATGTATTGTAGTTTGTTATATTCCAAATTTTAAACACGTATTTTTGTATATAAATTAAACACAATAACATTTTTTAATTGATTATTGTATAGTCTCAATAATTTCAGTATTTAAATTTTTGGATTTCTCCTTTTTAAATGTTTTTGATGATTTAAATACCACATAATAAACATTGCTTGTAAGAATTTCTAAATCTATCTCAAAGGGTAACTTGAATTGATAAGTATTTAATGTATTTTAAAATTTGTGTGTAAATATTTGCAAAACTCACGATGTGTGTGTGTTATATTATCGTAAAATAAACTGCCTCTCTCAATTGTGATAAGTGCCGTATAGTGTTTCACGAGAATATCTTCCTTTCCATATTTCTTTCATTCCATACTGAACTACGCAAGCGCTCTTTTGCGAAAGTTATTTCACCTCTAGAATTTGATATCGTCAAATAATCCATATACTTAATAGCAAAAGTCTACGTCAGGAAAATGGGAAAATATTAATCCATGTACATTTATGATCACATTAATATTTATTGATGTGGTTATATCATTATAAACCAATAACAATATTTGAAAAAATTATGACATAGAATAATGATGTGTATTTATAAAAGAAATTTTTTTAAATACAAAAAATAAAAGAAATTAATATTTTGATAATATCTGTTTGGTAATATCTAATTTAATATAAATTCTGAAGTTATAATTTTATAAACTGTAAAAAGTAAAGTATGTAATTGTTCATAATACTTAGTTTAATCAAATCCACGACATGATTATGATAACTGGGGCCCCTCAAAATAAAAGTGATTTTTGGAATCATTTTTAACGAGGAATACGAGAAAAATAGTAAAAAATGTTCTAACCAACAGATATCAAAATAACTAACAATTATAAACCAAAAATATCGTTGCTTCGCGTAGAAAGCCGTGCACCCCGTAGCAGGGGAGGGGGGGGGGGAGTCCTGAATAACCGCTAGAACATTTTAGTAGATAATCATTGTTTATTAAAAAGATATTATCAAATTGATCATAAAATCGAATTATGATTATCAAATTAAATATTGATTATGGAACTTTTTTATTATTTTTCTCGTGTCCTTACTAAAAATGCTTTCAAAAATAACTTTTATTTTGAGGGGCCACAGTTATCGTAATCGCTCCAAATCCACTGTTAATTTAATGTTATTGACATATCGCTAACGTGTGTGTATGTGTATGTGTGTGAGTTTTGTCTACTTAACTTTAAAATAAAAGTTTGAAAATTATGAAAAAGCATGATATCTAATCTAATAATAAAAACTTTGAAAATATACATATTTTTTATATAAGAAAATAGGATAATTAAAATTTTTTCCTAGATTTTATACAAATGAATTTGTTTTGATTTTAGGAAAACTGAAGTGCTATTGCGATATATGCCTGGACACAAATTACACTTGCGAAACCGATGGTTATTGTTTTGCCAGTACGAGCCTGAAAAATAACGTCATTACGCATTCTCAAAGGTAACGTATTTGCATGTTAATATTATTTATAAGCATATACGATTTACATTCGAAATCCTTTTTTATTGGCTCATCTCTTGATCACCGATAGATTGCTGTCAATCAAATAGCATTTGATTGACACCGGCAAGTTCTTCCAATCTCCCATAAATTATATTTACTTTCCTCACTACTAAACCTTATTATTTAATTTCTTAGTTTTCAGTATATTAATCAATTAAGGTCAGACTATTGAATATTAAAAAAATAATTTATTACAATCAATTAGTAGCAAAACCTGTATAATTCGTCCTAAAAAAAGTTCAACACGTTCATAATTGACGTAAATTGACGTACATAATGAATCGAATAGTCTGGACCGATGTTAGTAAGCGATCAATGGCACTAATATTAGCGCAGATTTTTTTAAGTTTTCCTAACAAAACAGATCCAGGTTCTTTGCATTATCTGTAATATTCATCGTATAAACTGATAGATTATAATACATTACGACAACATTGTACAATCAATATTAACATAAAACTTGCAAAATCGTGTAATTAGATATGCAATTGTTTCAAAAGATTTTTCTTATTGAATTGTTCTTTTATTTTTATTTTATTTTATTTGTTTTACAATTATTAACTTATTAACGCATAAATTTATTTTAAATGTTTATATATTTTCTCTTGACATTTAATTATATTACTTTTTAATTAAATTATGTTTCCATGCATCCATAAGTTTTTGTTTGCGTTAATAGATTTTTTACCTTCAAAATCTATTTCTATATTTTTTCGAGAATTTTATAAATATATTTTTTTTTGTTTAGAATTTATTACAAAAAATTGTAGATTTATAGATAATACACGCACTTGCGTATCCCCAAAAAATTACATACATGAATACAAATGATGTATTTTTAATTCTTATATTTATAAATTTCTATTTTTTATTATTATATACATATATATATGCATATAATTTTTAAAGCTTTATTATATCGTTAAAACTTAATTTATTTTAGCATTTTTTGTTAAATTTTAAATTAACGATCCGTAAGAGACATCTTCATCTGTCTGATTGGATCATTGTCTAAATGTATTAGATAGCTAGAGTATTAACTTAGAATTTCCTTACGTTAATGTTTATTACATATGAAACTTATGCATTTAACGGTTTAGGTCACTGATCATTCGTGAGAAATGCCGCGTAGTATATCTATTGAACGACGGTGGTTTCACTTAATTCGACATTGCGATCGATGCCCTCTGGTTTCCACGAATGAACATTTAGGCAGTTTTCCACTCCGCGCTCTCGCCCGGGTCATGATTAGCGCCCTTTTCGGCGGAAACGAATTATTGTTGTCGGTTAGTCGTCGCGTTGGTAACAGAACGCTGCGATGCGTGGCAAAACTTTAAGTTTGATTGTTATGAGCAAAGGAAATTCTGGTCGCGATCGATCGCAGGGCAAACTCGGGGCGAAATTTGATGTTACCTTCCCTACTTCCGCGGTATCGATTTCGAATACGTCGAGGAAGTTTCTTACGCGCAAGCGTGGGGGTAGCCATATACAAATTTCAATTCAATCCAAACAGATGAGACACTGCATCACTGTTGTAACTAGGGGCTGTCATTTTTTTAATGCATTATAGAAAATACGAATGGGTATCGCTAAAAATGAAATTGTACGATGGACTTTCGACAATTGTTCCAAATATCAATTCAAATACTACGGATGAATTTTTTATTATGACGAATGTGAAGTATATTATTCAGTATATTATTCAATGTAATTCAATGCTCTTTTTAAGAAGTACAAAGTAAAGAAAAAAAATCTTTTGATGATATTGTTACCTGAATAATTAACACCGCGAATAATTACTTAGAATATTAAATAATTTAACTATAAAAATTATTTTCCACATATATGATTTATATAAATTTAATCCTTGCATACATATAAAAAATAAAGTATTATAACACTTATGCGAAATATTTAAAATAAAACTTTTTATTTATATAGATACCTAATTTGAATTTATTTTGAAATAAACATTTATAAATAAATGATAAAAAAGAAAGAAAAGAATATAACTTTACTTACAAAAGTATTATACGACAAAAGTATTGTATAATCTTTCTTTTATCTATCAAATTTTATTTGAAACAATTACAATAAAAAGTACTTGTTATAAAGTCACTGTAACATTATACAAGATTATGTCTGTTAAATTATATTATAAAAATGTTCATTATCTTTAACTACTTCATTTAAGCTTTTTAAATCTGTATTTTAATAATACATTTGCTATTTAATTTAAAATTCTGTCTCTTTAAAAAATTATGTAATATACCGAAGACTGTAATTCTACAAATATGCAAAGTTAATTCTCAAACTTAGCAATTTCATTCGTTATTATCATCTGACATTATAGAGCAATTTTATTGGTATCTTTATTGGTATCTTTATGTGCAAATGATGTATAAGTGCATTTATCTAAATTTACAATAGCTTTGGAAAAGCTTGCAAACATTCGCCATGATCGAAAAGGTCAACAGTTGAAAAGATAACGTAATATGTATGTATGAAGTATACTGCAAACCCGACCTCCGACCCTATGAAGATCGACATTTTCTTTATCATGGATGATGCTGTATTATAATATATACCGATGGTATATTATATAGAACGAAAATCTAATGCTATAGAGGATATATAATTAATATTGTTTGGCTATGCAGAACTCTCGCAATATCATTTCAAAAATATTACAAAATTAAACAACATTTAATTTCATAATTTTTATTATTTCTATAATTTCCATTTTAAATCGATAGTTTATATAAATATGTTGTGTAATTTATAAAATCAATGTGATATAGTATATATTATTTCAATCTACTCGCATTGTATTTGGACGATAAAAACGAATATTTTCTTGATTTTAGATATACTGTCTACCAGTTACTTCTGGAAACGTTCTATCAATACATAAGATACAAAATTTTATATAAATACAAAAATTTTGTATACACGTTTTTAAGAGACTATATTTATGTACATATAGAAAGTTTATAATTTATATAAGAACTTAATGTAAAATTCAATTTCTCTATTGCAGTATCTTTTTATGATTCTACAAAGCATAAGATTTGTTGTCAAAATAGTTACACATTCTATTCTTAAAATATGTAGTTTAATAATAACTTAATAACAACTTATATAAGTTATATAATGGTTTCTGATTATTATGGTTTCTGATATTTTTGGCTTTTTAAATAGGAACTATTACTCGGTTTTTTTTTCTGTTACATTTGGTATAATTTCTCTGATTTAATTTTTGTTTATTCTTCATAAATAAATATTTAATTGTACTGATATTTATTAGTCTCGAGAAATTTCTTGTCTCATCTGTCAATCGTGTCCACTTATGAATTTTATAAACGCATTACATACTCCGATAGAATCTCGGAGACGCGATATGGATTTATATTTTAATAATTGTCAGGGAGATTGTCAAAGATTATAAGATTCCGATTTGAAAACGATGCACTCTTAAAATCAAATAGGATCGACCGAGACAGACCGACCAATGCGACGATCTGAGGTCGCAGACGTGCGGACGGCTCCTAAATGCTTAATGCGCCAGACGGATAATTCGGATAATTCGGCCGGAGATCGCATTGAAAATAGCGCGACCGAGATTACTTGATCCGGCTATAGCGTGAAAGCAGCACGAGGCAATTTTATATGCGATCGCATGAATGCAAAATAAATTGACGTGTCGCGTCGCAAATGCGAATTCGAGTCGTATGTGTTGAGATTTCAGAATATATCGATCTAACAAAAATAAATTAAAGTCAAAGGGGGAGTTGTAGATATTTTTTAGATAGACACTTTTTAAGACTTTTTATTAAGTAAAGACTATAATAAATATAAATATTCTATATAAATATATACATATAGAATTATACTACATTTGTAGGATGTGTAAAATCAATATATGCATGTCGTAGAAAATTGGAATTATAACGCAAAGAAAATCCAGAAATTTGCAGTTTATTAATATTATAAGTAAAGTAGTTTTTTGAGGGAGGAATAATAAAATTCTTGGATTAAAAATAATAGAAACTTTAGTATTTACATTAAAATTCATATTATATTAACAATAATATAAATATATGTTAATATAAATTATATTTCTGTAATTTATTTATATTTTTTGTAAAGCAGAGTTAATTAATGCTTTTAAAATTTAAACTATAAATAAATCGGCGCAAGACCTGTAACATATCATTCACAAAAAGAAAATGTCTCTATACATGTATAATTTTTGAATTTCGGCATATCAATCAAGATCGATGCGCGAGTTTTTCGGATTAAAGTAGAATTGTGATGTTGTAAAAGGTGCCTCGATCGAAGCAACTGGCTGCCGCCGGAAGCACCCCGTTTCTGCAACAGCAAGCCAGGCACTTATCTCTCGCGGATTTGCTGCGATAAAGACCTCTGCAACCTGAATTTATACCCAGTTTTACTATCTCCCAACTCGTCTGAATTATCTTCAGGTATTCTTCCAAGGGTTCGCGATCAATGAGGATTTTTACTTTCTGTATACCTGTGTGCATAATTTAACTATTCATTACTATATAATGTCATAAATTAACCCTATAAAAATCGAGTGAACAGCATGATTTTTAAAATAACAAGAATAAACGACAGAAAAAAATAACGTCTCTAAATGAATAAAATTACATGATATTGGTAATATGAGTTTTTTTGCAGTTGAGAAATATGCTCTTGTATAAAATATAATTACCGTATTTTTCGTAGAAATAACAACGCGATAAAAATATTTATCATACGTTTATTATCACATAACTAAATGGCCATTTAATTTTTGTGTGATTTCATGTTTATATTAACACGGTTATCTTTCGAACATTTTTATATAATTTGAATCAGAGAGAGAGAGAGAGAGAGAGAGATCTATTTGTTTTTATGCGGGCGTTTATTTTAAT